CTCTATAGTTGGTACAACTACTTGTTTCCAAGTTCAATTGGAAAATTGAATGGGCTTAAAAATGTGGGGATGGAAAAGATGACATTCTTTAAGATGGCAATATGCCCAAACAAGGTTTCAGTGACATATTTTTTATTCCTTTAATTTGAATTTTGCCACATTGAAAATATCAACTAAGGCTTGCCAGAGCCACATGATTGCCCCTCTCCATTTCTTCAGAAATTAGGCTTAAATTCTGTTTTCTGATACTTCAGTCTGAATAAAATGGAAATAGAGCCTAAGATGGGAGTGAAGAAGGGATAGTGTTCTATTTTTTCCTTAAATTTTTTTATTGTTATGTTAATCACCATACATTATATCATTAGTTTTTGATGTAGTGTTCCATGATTCATTGTTTGTGCATAACACCCAGTGCTCCACGCAGAACGTGCCCTCTTTAATACCCATCACCAGGCTAACCCATCCCCCCCATCTCCCTCCCCTCTAGAATCCTCAGTTTGTTTTTCAGAGTCCATCATCTCTCATGGTTCGTCTCCCCCTCCGATTTCCCCCCCTTCATGCTTCCCCTACTGCTATCTTCTTCTTCTTTTCTTTTTCTTAACATATATTGCATTATTTGTTTCAGAGGTACAGATCTGTGATTCAACAGTCTTGCACAATTCACAGCGCTCACCATAGCACATACCCTCCCCAATGTCTATCACCCAGCCACCTCATCCCTCCCACCCCACCCCCACTCCAGCAACACTCAGTTTGTTTCCTGAGATTAAGAATTCCTCATATTAGTGAGGTCATATGATACATGTCTTTCTCTGATTGACTTATTTCACTAAGCATAACACCCTCTAGTTCCATCCATGTTATTGCAAATGGCAAGATCTCATTCCTTTTGATGGCTGCATAATATTCCATTGTATATATATACCACCTCTTCTTTATCCATTCATCTGTCAGTGGACATCTTGGCTCTTTCCACAGTTTGGCTATTGTGGACATTGCTGCTATAAACATCGGGGTGCACGTACCCCTTCAGATCCCTACATTTGTATCTTTGGGGTAAATACCCAGTAGTGCAATTGCTGGATCATATGGTAGCTCTATTTTCAACTTTTTGAGGAACCTCCATACTGTTTTCCAGAGGGGTTGCACCAGCTTGCATTCCCACCAACAGTGTAGGAGAGTTCCCCTTTCTCTGCATCCCCGCCAACATCTGTCATTTCCTGACTTGTTAATTTTAGCCATTCTGACTGGTGTGAGGTGGTATCTCATTGAGGTTTTGATTTGGATTTAATAGGAGTGAAGAAGGGATAGTGATAAGAAAAAAGAAAATAAGTCCTAGAAATCAGACTCTGTGCATATAGGTTTTCATCCAGGTCTGTTGTGTCTGATATCTATTTGCCTAATTAAAGATGAATTACTGCAATTGACTTTGCTGTTAGAGGAACACCACAAGTCATGGACTCATTTCAGCTGACTTTGAAAGCTTCTGGGTCATATTGAAAGAACCACAGAAAGTCATGGTATGGGGAATTCTATGTCCACGAGCCAGCCTTCAGCCTAGTTTTCTGGCTACGAATTGGCATCAACACTGAGTGAAGCTAGGCCAGAACGAAAAACCAGGCAGTTTACCAGTGCAGGGAGGGAGAATGTTGAGAACAATACTCAAATCCAACACACAGGGTGTCTTCCTGGAGCCTGACCAGGCAACCTGAAAATCCCCCCAAAACACAGGGGCTGGCAAAAAGATGATATGGAAAAGAAAATGAACCATGAGTATCTACCTGTCAGTAGATCATGCTACAATATCCACTGAGGCCTGGAAACCCATGGCTTCACCATTTTTCCTTATGACACTCTGCCCTCTGAAAAGGACCTTGTGAGTACAGAGTCACACAGTGAGGAGGCCAGGTTTGGATGGGAAAGCCCCACTGAGAGGAGCCAGGTCTAGATCTCAGGAACGGGTAGGATCATTTGCATGTGGTCGCTCAGGAGAGGAGGATTTGCAGGAAGCCAGGGAGGACATAGTGTGGATAAAAGAGAAGTAAAAAACCTGAAGAACATCCCCAGGTGAGATTTGATGTATCATACACAGCTTAAAGCAGAAAATCCCTCTAAAGGCAGAAATATCTACTTATTCCCTAGGCAATAAGTCTTACAGTGTCAACTATGTAAGAAGCATTGCACTAGGTGTTGGGGAAATAGCAAATCAAATAGATCAACAAAAACACGGCCCCTTGCACCAATGAAGTTTACAGTGCAATGCAAGATTTTTTTTGAGATAATGACACTTAATTTGAGACCAAAAAGGTGAGTAGACATTTAAAGGACAAATACAAGAATAATATTCAGGAGAGAGAAAGAGAGGAGTATGTATTGAGACTCTGAAGAGTTGAATGTTAGACATGGTGGAAGAAAAAGACACTGGTTAGTATGGGTGGACAATGTTGTATCAAGCATGTATTTTTTTATATTATGTCTATACTTCTATATTCCCTGTATTCTTTTGTCCCCCAGGATTAATATTTTGCTACTATACTTGCTACATATAATTGCTACATAAAATAAAGCACTTACATGAAATTTATCATTTGATACATTTTGACATAAGTATTCATCATGAGAACATCATCACATTTGAGACAATGAGCATATCTCTGACTCTCCAGTGTCTCCTCATGTCACTTTGTGGTCTCTTTCCTCTACTCCTCCCTACTCCTGACCCCAGCTATCCACTCATGCTTTCTGCTACTATGGATTAGTTTCCATTTTCCAGGATTTTTTTTTAAGATTTTATTTACTTATTTGAGAGAGAGACAGAGATAGCAACAGAGATAGTGAGGGAGAGCATGAGTGGAGGAAAGGGAGAAGCAGGCTCCCCACTGAGTAGGGAGCCTGACTCGGGACTCAATCCCAGGACCCTGGGATCATGATCTGAGCTGAAGGCAGATGCTTAAATGACTGAGCCACTCAGGCGCGCCTCCATTCTCCAGGATTTTGTATAACTGGAATAACACAACAGATACTTTTTCTTGTCTGACTTATTGCACTCAACCTAGTTATTCTGAGATTCATGTGTAGAATTGCTTATATCACTAATTCATTCCTTTTTATTGCTAAGTGAGATTCCATTGTATGGCTATACCACAGTTTGTTTATTCATTTACCTGCTAATTGGCTTTTGGATTGTTCCAGGTTTTTTGGTTTTTGGTTTTTTTGCTATTGCAAGTAAAGCTGCTATGAGTATTTATGTACATGATGAACATATGATTGCATTAGTCTTGGGTAAATACTTAGGAATGGAATGGCTATGTCATAAGGTAGGTATGTGCTTAACTTTCTATGAAACTATTTTTTAAGTGGTTATACCATTTTTCATTTCTACCAGAAGTACATGAGAATACAAATTGTTCACACTCTTGGTATGGCCAGCCTTTAATATTAGTGATTCTAGTAGCAATGCCATGTGTCTCATTATGGTTTAATTTTCAGCTCTACAGTGGCTAATGATGTAGAGTATCTTTTTATTTGTTCTTGTTTATTTGTTCTATTCAGTGGTTCTCAAAGTATATTTCACAGACCAGCAGCATCAGAATCACCTTGGAAACCTTGGAACTTTAAAAAAAATGCAAATATTCTATCTCCACTTCATACCTGGTAAATCAGTAACTCTAGGTGAGAAAGTAGGTGGCAATCTGTTCTTCAGTAGTTCTCAAGGTGACTCCAATGCACTGTAAAGTTTGAGAACTACTGCACTATGTTAAGAGAGAAACAAAAAGAATAGGTACAAATGCAATTAATTTTGTATATTTTGTGTTATAAGTAGAGATGATTTATACTATTCAGACTTCCTTTTCTTTATAACATATATAGGGAGATCTGAAAGTGAGGGAGAGTAAGTCAGATGTTTGAGTAGTATGGAGGAGGTATGGGTAACCATTAGAAAAATGGAGAAGCAGGTTGATGAGGTCATTAGTCACTATTAGATGTCTACTTAAGTCATGCCATTGTCAACTTTTATTGCTGTCCATCTTCCTGATTGTATAATCTTCTCTCCCAATTCTGAGCTGCTCAAGGTAGAGGTATGAAAAAAGCAGCTTCTTGGATTTGTATGCAGTTATTCTGCCAAATGGGTTAAAGGGGAAGAGAAAGAGATCAGTAGTTGAGGGTATTTGCAAGAGAGTGAATGAGTGTAATCATGGATCATAGTCTCTCTGTGTAAAGAAAGAAAGAAAATGAAGACAAGAGGATAATAATTAACAGATAGAAAGTTCTGAGACCTATAGATAAAAAGGTCTTGATGAGCTGGAAGAACTGCTTCAGTAGACATACTTCAGAAATGAGCTGGGAGTGTAAATGGTAATGGCTAAAAAGTGACATGCTTATTTTTGAATTCTTATTTTTTTGTGATAAGAAGCTGTAAGATATGACCTTGGTAATAGAGGTTGAGATTACTGTGCCAGATCATTGGTATTGAAGTAGTCAAGAATGGGTGAATAAATATTCACATACATACTGAGGTTCTCTTTCATTAGTGATGTCAATCACAGTAGTGGATGGATGAATGGGAGACAGACAGCCGAGGACCAAATCAGAAAATACAGTGGCATAGGTATCACATAAAATCAACTGGAAGTCATCACTGGCACAGGAAAATTCTGGCGGACACATATTTCTTTCTGTGGAAGGTTATTTGGGGCCCCATAATTTCAAAAACATATGTCCCAGTATGTGCTAAATTTATGGAATGCCTTTTGGTAATAAGATTCATCATTAAGCTATCTGTGTATAAGTGTGTTTTAACCATGCATATACAAAAAATAACAACCAGGTAGCCTGGAGTTGATTGCAAAGAAATGGAATCATAATAACTTCCTCGTGTTTTCCTATTCATGACAGGGACAAAAATGTTTGCTTTGAAAAGCTCCTACCAACTCAGAAGTCCAAGGATGGAAATTGTGCCCTGCTAACATCCATTCTAATTCTGTTTTTCAAATTCACAGAGAGTGAAGAAGTTTATCAAAGGCAGGTGCTGTCAATTTCATGCATCATCTTTGGAATTGTCATCGTGGGCATGTTCTGTGCAGCATTCTACTTCAAAAGCAAGTAAGACCATCTCTCTCAAGTGTTAAAAGGTTACTTTTCAGAGGAAGCACTCTGTCTTTCTTTAACTTCACAGTCTCTGCTCCAGGCAGAGGGATCTTGTGCAAATGGGTCCATCAAACATCTACAAATGACTTAGAATCTCTTATAGACTGTGGGGAGTATATGCAGCATGTGTGTGTGTGTGTGTGTGTGTGTTTTCTCTTTGGTGCACATAGTGATCATTCCTCTCTGTGATCATGAACACTCCATGTTCTTTGCAGTTTCTGATTACCTGCCAAAAGTAATGGCTCAGTATCTGCCTATCACTAAGGGGTTAACACTTCTGAATAGAGAGGTCATTGGTGTAGACCTAAGTATTGTCAACAAATACTAGACTTTTTTGGAAAAAAAAAACCCACACTTTTCCTTTCATAGTATTTTTACCTGATACCTATAAAGGTTTCAGCCAATTATGAAATATGCATACTACAAGATCTACTTTGTTTCATCAATTGGTAAGCACATCTTGAATATCCCCCATACTTACCCTGCTAAGAAACCAAAACTTCTGTGGTACCTGGCTGCTCAGTCAGAAGAGCATGGGGCTCTTGTCTTAGGGTTGTGAGTTCGAGCCCAACATTGGGTGTAGAGATTACTTGAGTAAATAAATACATAAAAAAAACCCAAAACTTTTGCTATGATAAAGGTGCTAATTTTTGACTAATAAAGTATAATAAAATATATACATACCTATATATACATACAAATATATTTATTCCAAATGGACTTTGATAAAGGTGTTTTATTTATGGAAATTTTAAGTCATGCAAGCCTTAAGAAGTTGGCACAGATTCTATTCCTACAGCTTGTCTGAAATGCAAGCCAATGTGTAATTGCTTTTCACTGGACCTATATTTGTCTGTATGTTGCATTTGTCACAATGAATGAAATAATATTCATACTGTATTACTGACTGAAGTTCATACTTCCAGATATCCTTAGCTTTTACCTAATGCACTTTGTTCCAGGCCCCCATCTAGGATACCACATCATATTTAATTGTCACGTCTCCTAGGCAACTCTTGGCTGTGACAGTTATTAGTGTTCATTTTTGAGAACCTACTCTTTGTCAGGGACACTGGACTTATCCCCCATTCCTCACAACAATTGGAATTGTTCATTATTGCTGCACTTTTCAAATAATAACAGAAGTTAATTTTAAAATATTAATTTGTCAAAGCCACACAGATGGGGTCTTTGAATTTCCCCAGTCCTGGTTGAAATTGCATGCTCCAAATCACTCTACCACATTGGCTCCCACGGTCCTCCCGCTAGATGGTGGAAGGTGAAACTGTTTAGGGTGAATCAGGATTATCATGCCCTGGTGCCGCCCATAATGCTTGGCGTCCTCTAGGGAGCTTATGTGATATATGGTCAGGATTTTACGTGCCTCACTCAACACCTGCATTCAAATCACCAGGCTGCCACTTGCGTGTTGTGTATTATTAGGCAAATTGCATCCAGTACTTCAGCCTCAGTTTCCTTTTTGGTAAAATATGGCCGAAAATAATACTTTCCTTATAGAATTTGTTAGGGATTGATGAGATAGCATTGTATAGAGCATAGCATAGTGTTCCAAAGAGTAAATAATGAAGACTTGCTATGGTTACACCTACGGTTTTCCACACTGGAACTGAGAGGCTGGGTAACTACAGAGTGAAGAGCATGCACCGGAGCACGAGAGGGGTAATCACACGCTGCAGGGCGTTCAAAGGGTCTCCCCGCAAGTGCTGTGTACAGGAAAGAAATTGTGTATTTAACAATAAGCAAATTACCATCAAGTGGTGGTTAAGCACTTATTTTTAGAGTATAATTTGTAGTTGTACCACATGTAAGGGAAAGACTGATTATGACAATCACAAGAATGGAGAGCAGCTGGATGACTCGAGGACCTCCATCTTCAGGGCTGTCAATCTCTCCCTCTCCAGGCAGCACGTGGGCTCTGAGATGAACACCTCCTCCTGGGGCTCAGTGAGGTGTGGGGGTTTAATGTAAACACTGTGCAACATCATTCATTCTGGGGGACTTCCAGAACTGAGCCAGGGGAGGAACACTAATCAGGATGTTGTCTTTCTGCCTGCCCAGCTGGGACACATTTTTATTAAAAATTAAATAAATAAGAAAATGTGAGAATAATAAAGTAATACTAAAAAGCCTTTTCCGAGTGGAGTTATATTTCTCATTAGAGACCTAGAGTGTATTTCCTTCTAGCAAAATTTCCAGGCAGGGTCTTCCTTTATTTTTCTTTGCTGGAGAGGAGTGCTACACCTCACACCAAGCATCTAATCTATATAGCTGAAAGCAGTGTAAATTTTTATAGCACACTGGCACATGTGTCTTTCCACTTGTTCCTGGAATTCTAATTCCCATCCCCAGATCTCAGGGATAATAGCATAGGCAGACTCTATCTTGATCTTTCCTTACTTTCACACATACCATAAGGTTGTTAATATGTGTATCATTTGTTTGACTTCATCTTGGAAGTGCCAAGTCTTCTAGGGTTCTAGGAACTCTCCATCATTGGTTTTTAAATAAATTCACTCAAACCAGCATTCTGTATACTGGGATATACAGTGTCTAGCCAGAGAAAGTCAGGAGTTACCCAAAAGCTCACATTCCCTTGAATCATTTATATTTTAGTTCCAATAATCCCTCAGATCCACCACTCTGGTCCTTTGTCCATTGTCTTGTGACCCTTGGTATGGCATGACCTCACCACATGGAATATTATAGCAAATTGTTAGCAGATGAAAGTATGAAGGCAGATAACATGAGGTAGAAATGATCAACACCTTCTTGGATTTAGAGGATTTTCTGAGTTAATTGAACCTCCATAACTCTAAAGGACACAAGGAAAGAAATTATCTTCTCATCACTTCCAATAAATCCATTTATTCCCATAAGTGGTTAATGGAACTATTAGTTGAGCTATTCAAATCTGGCTGATGGGTCTTATGTGGCAACTTTAAATGCTTCTAGGTTTCTTTTTACTTTCAACTCATATGGGTAAGAAGTGTGAGGCTGCCTGTAGGAGTCCTTAGTAGACTTGGGAAGTGCAAGACACAATTCAGCTCTAAAAAACGGAATTGGGATAGGAGAGGAGATGTTCCAGGAGGCAGAAGCTAGGACAAATAATGATCGTGACTGGGAAAAACAGAAGGAAAAAGGAAAAAATGGTGCTCCCAGTAAAAACCAGTCCTGACTATAGGTATCACCTTCGGAAGTCAAAGATTTTAGCCCAAAGAAAGCCTGTTGAAGACAGGCAGTGAATGCTCTGATATGCAGCTTTGATTCTCTTGAGCAGTGAAGATCTTAGCCCTCCAGTTGCTAAAACAAATATGATTAAGAGTTGCCTTGCTCTGACTTGAGATAGCACCTCCAATGACAGGTCAAAGTGAGGCTCCGAAGGCCTAGATCTTTGCCCCAACTTAGAGTGCAAGGCCATGCCAGTTTCAGAGCCCCCCAAGGGATTTGCTGAGCTCTTCACTGAGACTGCATTATGTTCCAGTTTCTCCCTCAGCCCAGTCCTGCTTCCCTTCCTTCCATTCTTTCATTCCACGTGTCTTGATCCAAAGTGCCTCCCCTAATAAAAATCCTGCATGCTGTCTCCCTCTCAGTGCCTGCTTCCCCAGGAACCCATCCCACAACATTACCAGTAATGCCAACCAGTGGACTTGTGATGCCTGATATTCCACAACTTACATGCCATTTCTTTCTGATGAACTGGACCAGAGAAACTTAAATCTCAACAAACTATAAAATGTTAACACTGACATTGTTAGGCTAGCAGGGTTCTAGTGTACAATGCCTGTATCTTGTCTTTCCCAGAGCATCGACTCTTGTGAGAGAGCTAATGGTATTTTAATCAGACATCTCTCCTGTCCTGGTTCCCATTTGCTGGGTGAGGGAAGAAAGAGCAAAAATATGTGTGTTTGGGACAGGGTATGGATGATACCTTTCTGGTTCAGAAAGGAAAGTCTGTTTATCCTGGAATATTAGTGAGTCGGGACTTTAGTGAGAAGCCAGTAAGGAAAGCAAATTATATAAGGATTTAGGAAGCTGCAGTCACATGTTTTTATGAGGAAAATTCCTTCAGAAGTCGGCATTTCCCAGACACTGAATTACAGAATTACTGAACAGATAGTTAATATTTCTACTATTTAATCCTTCAGAAAGTAACTGGGTCCTCACTCTGTGCCAAGCCCCTTTTACTGCCTCATGATAATTTGCTTGGGTAGAACCTCCTGATCTCCTGTTTCCTTCATTAGTGAATCCCTGATGGGATTTTGTGGCTATAATGTGCTTCATAAAATGCTGATATAATAGATTTATTTTTAGGCTACAGATTAGCTCTTAAGAAATAGATATATTATTACAACTGGATTAAAGCAACTAAAAGTACTGGAGATAAAAGCCCCCCCCAAAATTGAAAAGATAAAAAAAATTTTTAAACAAACAGAGCTACATCACTGCTATTATAAATTCAAAAGAGTTAATGACGCTCAGAGCTTCCAAATCTGGTAGCAAACACTGTCACTTGCTTGTGAGAGATGCAATTAATACCATCCTTTCTTTTATCTTTGAGCCAATGTTCTAATTTCTCTGTAGGATCTGCCCATACAACTAAGCTTGCTAAATAATGAGAAGGGGAGCAGATCAACACCTTACAGGTGTTCTCATATTCAGTTTCTACAGTATCCATGGAAGGTAGCTCTTACAACACCATGCACAGATGAGGAAACTGAGCCTCAGAGAAGTTTAGGAAAACAGTCATTTCGATTTAGGAAATCAATATAGAAGTGGTGGGTGGCAGTGGTGGGATTCAAATCCCAGTCCCTCTGATACCCAAGTCCATTCTCAGGAAAAGTTCTCTGCAGGAAACCGTGCACATAATCCATCAAAGGCTCTATCTTTGACAGGGATCTTAGGAAGAGTTAAAAGTTCGGGTTGGGCAGGATGATTCTGCAATGTGTGTGTGTGTTTATGGGCACTGAGTCTTCTGCTGATAGATAATTACTGTAAAGCCCTTGGAAGAGAGCAGCTAATAAAGGAGTAGTTTGTTGCAGCCTTCTGGTGTGACTTAAGCAACAGTCACCCACATAGGTAGGCAAGAGTACTTTACTCAGAGTCTGAAACTTGAGAATAGTCTCAGTCTTCCCCCTGAGAAGCTGTGGGAATATGGGCAAGTGGTTTGACAGTCCCAAGTGGTGGTTGAGAGGACAGAGTATGCAGCCAGATGGGCTGGGTTCAAATTCAGCTCCACCACTTACTAGCAATGTGACTTTGGAAAAATTATTTAACTTCTCTGTGCCTCAGTTTCCTCATATATTAAATGAGTATAGGTTAATGCCTCATCACACAGCATTATAGTGAAGAATAAGTGAGTTGATACATGGAAAACACTTAAAATGATGCTTGGCACATAGCAGATGTTCTTTCAAGACTTAACTATATTTTTATTATTATTTACAAAGTAGAAATAAAAATCTTTACATTCAGGTCTAATGGTAACAATAAATGAGCTATTTCTAAATTGTAGAAGAGAAAATATATATGCAGGCTATGCAATCAAGCTACACATGTTTGGAAATGTAAATGTAACAAATAGAGATGTAACTTTGCTACTATGTTATATGTGGCTGCTAGGTACAAGCTTCAAATTTTTCTACCGGTTAACTTCAGAGCATTTCTAATTCTTTACCTCTGAGCACTAAGGGTTAGGGACCTCTTGCATCTCTGGGGGCCAGGATGATGTGTTATGCTTCTGTCTGCCCTTGGCACACCACTGGGTGTGGATCCCAGGATGTTGATAGATAAAACCAGCCTCTCTCCAGATTAGAACTTATCAAATGGGGTTGGTAGGTTGAAAATGAAGGAAGGATGTTGTTTGTTAAATGAGTTTTCCAGCTTTCACAAATGACAAATATAGATGTTGGGAATGAATGAACCCCCAAAATATGAATAGAACAAACTGATGTAACTATTTATGTGTTTGTTTATTTAAACCTGCAGGAAACAAGCTAAACAAATTCAAGAGCAGCTGAAAGAACCACAAAATGGTAAAAACTATAGCCTCAAAGCGTCCAGCACAATGGCAAAGTCAGAGAACTTGGTGAAAAATCATGTCCAACTGCAAAATGTAAGTTTCCTGTCTATACCTTTGTTCCTCCAACCCACCTCAGTGCTTCCAGTTCAGAGGGGAAGGGGAGCTTGGGATCAGACTTGTATATTTTTTTTCAGTACTTTGTGGATTTTTCCTTAAATCATCTTGCAGTTCGGTGTGTAGGCACGTGCACATGTACAAGCTGAAACAGAGAAAAATTAAATCTCAGCTTTTGATTACAATCTGCAATATAAATTAATCTCTAGAAGCAAAAAGAGCTTCATTTGTTTGTTCCATAATGACTTATTACATTCTAACTATGTGTTGGAAATTGTGCTGGGGGCCAGGGATACAATGTTCTCTACCTTATGCGAACTTAAATGTGGTAAGAGATACAGACACCAGAACCAGAGGGGGTATGTGGGCTGAAATGGTTGACATTCCAATAGATTGGCGAAGAAACCAAAGGGAGCTGGGTGGGTGACGTGTTAATCAGCTAGTCAAAGAGCAAAGGAAAAGAGACTAGGAAAAACAAAAAATAAAGCCATGGAATGTGTACTATATTCAAGCAACTCCAAGGTAAAGGGTGTGAGAGATGTCAAAGGTACGAGACATGGGAAGGGAAAGTTGTATTCTCAGAGTCAGTATGTCCTGATACCAAACCTTAAATAGATAGCAGAACTTGAAATATGAGCTCTTTGAATCCTACATTCTTTCTACAGTTTTTAATCATTTCTGAGATACATTACAAAACACTAATTAAAGACAAGCAAATATCATCTAAGACATACTGAAATATTCCTCTCAAGGTAGTAACAATTCTTTGCCCCCATATAAGATCGCACTTCCAGATTCTGAGACACAAAAGGAAGGAACAAAGGCCGTGGTATAAACCTAGTATTTGAGTAAAATAGACAATCACCCAGGACATATTCATGCCCCTCCCCACACATAAATCACTGGGAATTTATACATCATTTGTGATTCTAAAAAATCATTACCCAGAAAGTCACCATTTGCTGTGCATAACAGATGTACTTAGATGTTTAGTGTGGAATTCATAAATCAGAATTGCTTCCCAGCAAAGTTTTGTTAAACTTGTAATCGTAGTTATGTGGAGACTGTTCTTTTCTGTAACAGAAGGGATAGTTTTGCTAATGATTTCTGAGTATTATCTCTCCACCTCACCACACAAATGCAGTGATGGAAGGTTTCAATTCCTTAGCAACTGGACTTGCTGAAGAGAAACAAAGCCAGTCCGTAGTTAAGATAGTAAGGACAGATTTTAATCGGTAATGTATCATTGCATTATGGAAGAAGCTCCAGCACGAATGAACTCAACTTCAATTTGTACAGAGGTGACTGGTTGTTTTAAAGGGAGAATGAGGGAATAGAGAGGAATCAGTGGGGGCTTGACAGAGTCAGGGAAGTGAAAAATCAGAGCCAGTCAGTGTACTAGTCAGCTGTGTCTGTTAGATGACAACTAATGGAGTTTAGAATTCTGTTACTTCCACAGAGACAGGGGGACAGAGATCCTATCCTTCCTTATTACATTTCAAAGATTTGGCTTTCAGGTCCTTGAGAAAGAAACTCCTGAGTTGTTGGAGATACATATATATCTCAAAATGACAAAGGGCGGCTTACATTTATAAGCCTTGTTCAAGTAAATGCTCCAAGAAAGGCAGGTCAGGGGCCTTTCCTCCTCCAGGGTTGGCTAGAACAAACAGTAAATTCTTTTGGAGACTTTGGAGTTTTTGTTTTTGTTTTTCAGGCAGGCGTTTTAAGGAAAGTTAGGGTCATTCTAGGGGTGAAGCCTTGAGCTATTAGAGGCTATTAAAAAACAAAGAGAGAGACTATATTAGAGTTTACTCAAGTCTTTTAGTGTGGGGATGAGTGAATGAAGTCATTTGTGCTGGGAATCTGCAGTTCTTACAGGTCAAAGTTAAGGCCCAGTAGAAAAGAGGGCTCAGGGGAGCCTGTCTAGAGTTTGGTTGGGAAGAGTCTCGGTCAGTCCCTATGCATTTTACAAGGTTGCAGCCAAAACACACATATAGTTCTGTATCCTTCATTTTCACCAAACAGAAGATCAATAGGACTTTCTGTCTGCTTTATGCTCTCCACAAACTCATTTGAGAGATAGCATAATTGTCCACAAGGTGGCCACTTCACAATGTCCTCACCCTTCTCTTGTAGACAGACATTCCTGTTCTTTCCTATTGTTTACTATTAAAGGACTATGAAAATAAACTCCTCATTCATATGCATCCCCACCCCTCATTTGATTGGAATGATTAGAATTAGAATAACAAGAAATTACAAAGTGTAGGGGTTGCAGCATTTGAAAGACTTTTGGGCACATTGGATTTTCTTTTCTTTTTCTTTCCCTCTCCTCTGGCCCACCCATACCCACAATTTGTATGTTAGCCAGGGAAGCAAAGGGTGGGCTCAACTAGATCGTTCCCACAGGGCCCAAAATAAGATGTGGGAAAGTGTCTTTATATTTCTCCCATTTGGGATAAAGAAAATATATATAGGACATTTTTTTTTCTCTGACTTGGGGTGTGGTCAGCTAGGACAATACATTTCAAGGGCTCATCAGTTTTAGGTTGGGCTGGGAGTTGAGGCAGAGAATAGATAGGAAAGGAAGGCTTGTAAGGACCCTGGAGAAGGAGAGTGAGGTGCATCGAGGAGACACATGCATGCTGGCCATAACATCCTACACTTTGCCTGCTTGGGCTCAAGGGACTGCCTGAGAGGGTCCCTTTAACCAGACTAGACTGGAATAAATAAGCTGCTTTCCCACAGGCACATATCAATTTCAGTGCTAGAAAGCAATGTGGGTCACTACTAGCTTTGTTATACCTTTGTCATCATTTCTTTTCCTAATTTAATAGGAGAACATGGTATTTTTTTAAATTTACATTTAACTATTTGACTGTGTAGTACAATCTTAGTCCATATATTTCTAGTCAAATGTTCAGTCTGGTGAGTTATGTCCCTGCTGATACTCTTGCTCCTATTTTTGTTATAAGAATCAAATAACAATTGGACTGTAGCTGTTCATGTAGTGTATTATGGGAGAAAATAGTAATGGAGAATATATATCAATAATACATTGGAAAGGAAGAGAAAATTTTAAGAGCATTTGCTCTCCTTCCATTTTATGCTGAAGATATGCAAGGAGAAGTATGGAGAACATCTATGCAGCTGGAAGCCAGGTAGCCCTGATCTGAGGGCAAGCAGTAATCTGATGTGTGGCTCAAATTTTTTGCATGAATATTGAAAAAAGCAAGGGTATTGAAGAAAATTCAGTAAAGCAGTTTTTCTTTGTAGGTCTATTCTTTTTTCTTCTTCTGCCAAGATCTTTGAGGAAATACCAACGTCAATGTTAAAAGCAAACAATGATAAATGAAATCGTGATCATCATAATAGCAAATATCATGGACTGAGTACATATACAGAATCATGCTAAATGATATAAATACATCGCCTCATTTTGTCCTAACAGCAACGACTTAATTTACACCCTCTATGTGCAGAAGAGGGAAATGGGACTCAAAAATTTTTTATCGCTGCCAGACTGCCTGTGAATAGCAGAAAGGCAAACTCACATCTTTATAACTCAGTGGTTCAACAGGGGGCAGTGTTGCCCCAGAGAACTTTTGGCAAAGTCTGGAGAGACTTTGGGTGTTACAGCTTGAGAGGCATCTATGAGCAGAGGGCAGAAGTGCTGATATATATTTCACAATGTACAGGATAGCCCTCCCCCCACAACAGAAAATTATCCTCCCCAAATATAAGAGTAGAGAGGAAATCCAGAGTCCAAGCTCAAGTTGCATAGTGCATCCAGTAGGAAATTCTGAATGCCCAGCATAGGAGTTCTAATCATTGTTTCTACTACACAGAGGGTGATGGGTTATCCACAAACACTCTAATCCTTGGGAGGGAAAATTTCCAGCTGGGACACCGTATCAGGCAAATCTGTCTTTATTTTATCATGAAGCCCAGGTTAACTACTTGAAATTCTTTGCAAATTGCAGTGTTTAACAAATGAATTGTCTGTGTCTGGCATTCCCTTAAGTTCATTAAACATTCATGGGGAAGTGTTTCACTTTATAGTCATTTAACAAGATGTGAAACACCTAGTCCCGTGAAGCAACATGATACTCTGGAAACACTTGACTCAGAGGCTGCAGAACTAGACCTGGCAGTGAGGTAGAAGCGTCGAGCGCCTTACCGTCATTAACAGATGAAGCGTTTGTGACTCAGAGAGATGAACTGACCTCATTGACTGTGTGCTGCGTGAGAGCGGGCTAGAGCTAGCGTTATAACTTCCAGACTGAGCGACACTTCTCAGCCTGATTCAGGGATCAGAAAGAGAAGTCATTAAAAGACAGATGATCACACTACATCAAAAACTGATGATGTAATGTTGGTGATTATCATAACAATAAAAATTTTAAAAAAAGAGAGAGATGATTCCCTTCTCTCTTAAAATCAAGAGAAAATATACCTAAGTGAAAAGTAAGGGAATAAAATTATGTACGCCTTCCCACCCTTTTTTCAAGAACCCTCTCAGGAAAGATAGGTTTAGGGGAGTAACATTCAATGAGGAAGAATTGAAAGATAATATTTGCGGGCGCCTGGGTGGCTCAGTTGGTTGGGCGACTGCCTTCAGCTCAGGTCATGATCCTGGAGTCCTGGGATCGAGTCCCACATCGGGCTCCCCGCTCGGCGGGGAGTCTGCTTCTCCCTCTGACCCTCTTCCCTCTCGTGCTCGCTCTCTCTCAAATAAAATCTTTAAAAAAAAAAAAAAAAGAAAGATAATATTTGCATGCATTGGGAGAGTCATAAGAATTTAATGCCTAACACAGCCTTGATAATTGGTAGAGAGAGGCATCCATTTATTCTGTAATACTTATTAAACACTTCTCTATGCTGGGTACTGTATGAAAAGCTTAGAAACAGAAGAGATGGATCCTGACCTCAGTGACCTCACAGGCTCGTGGTAGAAACAAGTATGTAAGCATATACAT